GGATTGGTTACACCTGGCTTGATGAATCCGTGTCTGCTCATCCTGGCTTGGTCTTTGTGCAACCAATTAAGCCTGGACTCACGTGTTTTGGATTCATTGAGCTCAGCTCAGCCATATAGTCCTCCCTTTGCGCGCACACACACACACTTTACATACATAATATACAGTAATCCAATACTATTTCATACAATCAGTCAATAATAATGTGTGTGTTGGGGGAGTGTCAGGCCATGATGTCGTAAATCTTCAGATCCCCACAGTAGGCTGTAACACAACGCATCCCTGAATCCTGCCCTCATTCAAGTAAAGAGCAGATATGTGGCTTAACTCACAGCATCTGCAATGTATTTGCTCAGGTTAAGCAGTGGTCCAACTGGCTGGTAATAGCAGTCACTTCTGAGAGCTGGCTCTGCTCAATTGTCCAACCACTAACACAAGGCGCCAACCAGGCAGGAAGATGTCACACAGCTCTGAGAATAACTGTTCATCGGTTGCTGTTGTCTTCAGCTCAGAGGCAGCAGCCTGAAAACACAGGATATGGTAAAACAGGGATCTGTAGCTCAGACAGTTTGTTTTACTGCACAAACAGAACTGACATTTAACATAACATTAACTGTTTTTATGCAAGCAAAGAGTGTCAAACTTAAATACTGTATTTGGCGAGGTTGTAAGGGATAAGCTTGATCATTTGCTATATTAACAGTATTTTCAACAGTAAATTGCTTCTATTCACTGTTAATGTCTGTCAGTCCTGGATTAGCTCATTTGTCTGTGCCACAAACCTCCACTGATGTTCAAAAATGATTAAAAACACCTCAGCGAAGCACTCATTTCCAGGACACCTGCGCATTTGTGTGAACACAAATCATGTGTCCTCTGTCAGGAACTAATAATAACTTTAAACATAATCACCATTCAATTGGCAAACTGTGTTAATGGAGGCATCACTGGAGTCAGGCTTACCATAATGCAAATTCTCATATCAAAATCCTTGTTGTCGTAGATGTTTTATAGTCATTTCGTCAGGTGATTTTTCAGCTAAACATAACTACTGCTTCACATGAAGTCCAACTTGCTCCTTCTGTGGTAAAGAAAAGATAAACTCTGCTTACAGATATACATAGAAAAATTATGTGATGTACGAGTTGTATCAGGAATTATTTTAGGACTTTTTCATATTGCACACTTGTAAGTGGATTAATGTTTGTTCTGCCCTGTGTGCAAAAACTCTGCATCATTAAAAACACATAAATGCTAAGAGACAGTGATGTTTAAATTTTACCTCTGACCGTGACAGTAGCTGCAGTTCTGCGTTATTTTCTCTTTCGCCTTTTGCATTGACAACCTTGTGGGTGTAGATCAGGCAGCGTCCGGTGATGTCATTATCAGAATGGCGGTACACAGCAAACCGTAGATCTGCGTCAAGGGCTGATCTGTAGTAGCTGCGGGCTTGTTCTGGGACTATGAGACTGTTGTGGACGCACAGACTCACAGCAGTCTGAAACAACTTCCTCAGCTCGTTTTTTAGCCTTCATTTTGATCTCCCTTTCCTCCTTAACCCCTATGTGCTGAACAAAAACAGCTAGTGTCATTCAGAAAACAGCATCTAAGTCTAGAAGTTTAGAAACTAATTCAATGTATTCATATACAACATCTAAAATATGGTCAAATTATCTCTAAAATGTAGTCATCACAGAAATTCTGATATGCAAAATAAAAAAACAAGATAGCACCTGCAGATTATTAACACAGCATTGTGAAATACTCCAAATGTGAACTTTTCAACACTGTATCTGTTAAACCAGTAACAAAACTATAGCATGAAAAGGTTAAATTTAAAAAATACTTCAAATAATCATTTGAAAACACAATTACATTTACACATTTATTTTGCAAGTAATACAAGCCAGAGCAGCTAATATGGTTTTTCTGTTGGTATGTTATCATCTTCTGCGAAGTTTAACACATGTTAAACATGTTAGGTTCATGGGATATTTCCTTTCTCACAACACCAAAATAAAAAATAATTAGGAACATTTGATACATCTTATCTTAAAGATTTCAAAATAAAATGACCATAATTCCATCAGCTAAACAAAAACATTAAATAAAAATCAGCACAATGCTGGAAGCTAAAGAAGTCATTTTTCAATAAAAAAAACAAACATTTTCCAGTTCAAGCCTCTCAAATATGGGGATTTTCATCTTTTCTTGGTTTTACATCATTGTAATTTTAATACTTTTGGGTTTGTGAGCATAGGTTGGACTAAACAATCTAAACCACCATCTTCAATCTCTCCCTCAGCCAGAGCATCGTTCCCACCTGCTTTAAGACCACAACCATCGTCCCCCTTCCCAAGAAGAGCCCAGTCACCTGCCTGAATGACTACAGGCCAGTGGCACTCACCCCAAT